TCTCGCCAAGTTGTAATTGGTAACTCACCTCTAATATGCCTTAGTGTTTCGAGGTTGGACCAATACTGGCAGGCGGGTCCGGTAAGTTTCATAGCTGCGAATTTGACCTTTCGGGGTTCTGTCAGGGCGTACCAATCAAAGTAGCGATCCATGTTCTTCAGTCAGTCCAAGAAAGCTTGTGGATCGAGCTTACCGTCAAAGGTTGGTGCACTGACCTTAATGCTCCTCAAGTATTGCGCGTCCAGATCAGGTACAGGTTGATGTGGAGGTCGATGAGCGAAGTGTCCATAACCTTGGCCTTGTAGTGGTGGGGCGATGGGTCCAAAGCCTTGATCGTTCGGCGGAGGAGTTGCAACACGTGCTTCTTCTAGCCTCGCTAATCTCTCGTTATTGTCATTCAGGATCTCACGGGTAGCTTGGCTCTCTTGGGCTAAATTACCTATTTGTCGTGCTAACTCAGCTATTTGCTTAAGGAGTTCGGGATCTGTGTTGCCTGACATGCTGGACTCACTAGTTGACTCACTTGACTCTCCCAATCGATAGTGTAAACCTGTACGAGTGGGCATGCACTACAGCTAAAGATGAAATGTGTGTACTAACAGCTAATGAGATGATTTTTTTTTTATAAAGACTCAACTAAAACAATTTTCCTAACCTGAAAATTAAAATAAAATTCCTAACCTAGAACCATGCTCTGATACCAAAAATGATGTGAAACAATGTGAATGCAGGTGCAAGATCAACGACAACAATGCTTCACCAAATCAGCGATCAATCTAGGCAGGAAGCTCAAGAATAAAATGAAGCGAACGATGGTTTTTAAGCAAAAGTTGCAATGTACTAAGTTTGAACCTTTGTAAAATTATTCTGATAATTAATGTAATGATTTGTTCTCTTAATACAGTTCAATTTGTAATATTTAGACAAGCAGAAATACTCAGCAACAGAATCACTCGCTCACTATTCAAACTGATACAGCATAATCGCAATTGATACTAAGATTGAGAATAACATGCACGCAATAGCAATTCCGAAAATACTTGGGCGTAAGAAAATTAAACCTTCGTCGGGTTGGACTGGTTCGATGGGAGGATCCTCTGGAGGCGGTGTAAAAACTCCAAATGTGAGTGGCGGGAGTTCTCCTCCAAGAGCTACGTAATTGGGATGAAGCGGCGTATCTGGATGAAAACGTCGGTGCCAAGAACTAATGCCCAAACTGCTCTCCACACTGTCTACAAGCTGATGAGTCACGCGTTCGACGTATTCAGGAACACTCTCGGACGTCCGGTAATCGAACCACGAGGAAAGCTGCAAATCAACAATACCAGTCTCTAGGTCAAGCACGAGGTCGTAGTCTTCAGCGTCAGGATCAGCCATACACTAACAAACTGCGGAATCAAAAGTCAGAACACTGCAGATTGGGTCTAATATCAAGGTCTGGTCCAACTGAACCAATCAAGTCTAGCCAAAATAAACCAGACCAAAGTATGAAATAAGATGATCTGAACCAAAATAAATCAATCCCAAATGTGAAGACCGGATCAATTCAAAGCCCTAGACCCGATGTCTGCCCGACTTCGACCTGAGGGAAAACGAGCGACGTCTGCTCACGAGCGAAGGGCGACGATTGACGATGCGAGCGGACGGCAGGACAGGGCGTCACGAGGAGTTGGGCGGCTATTCGAGGGGAAGGAGGAGCGGCGGCGGCGGCTTGGGCAGGAAGGGGAGCGACGATCTAGGGTTTCACACCCACGTTTCACACGTTCAAGCCACAGGTAATTGCAACTAAATTTCAATAATTTTCATTGATCCTAACTCTGATTACAAATCATGTTTATATAGAGATTATTACAGAATTTAAAAGCTCAATCTAATCTCTCTCAATCTTATCCAATAACAACTAAATAACTAATAACAACTCTAATCTGAAATCACTACTAACTGAAAAATAACTGAAATTTCTAAACTGTCAAAACCATATCCCTGCGATCTGATGTGCGGCTGGAATACAGCGCCTCCTACGCTGATAAACACGGCGAAAGTCCCGTGCACGTGCCTGGATGTCCTCATCAACCTGTCTCGGAGTTTTGAATGCAAGGGTACGGCTAGGCATTCGATTAACAAGATAAGTGGCAGTGAGAATAGCTTGTCCCCAAAATTGTTTTGGAACATGATTGGAAAACATAAGGGACCGAGCCAGTTCTAATAAATGTAGGTTTTTCCTTTTAGCTACTCTATTTTATTGTAGAGTGTTGACACAAGAACTAATATGGACAATACCATTTTGAGATAAATAGGAACCGAGAGTAGAATTAAAGTAATCTTTGGCATTATCACTTTTGAATATCTTTATGTTGCTTTGGAATTGTGTGGAGGTCATTGAGTGAAAGGCTTTGAATTTTGAAGATGCCTCTGATTTTTCTCTCATTAGGTATGTCCAAGTGATTCTAGAGTGGTCATCAATGAAGGTGATGAACCATCTAGTTCCATTAACGTTCTTTACTCGAGAAGGCCTCCATATGTCACTATGAATAACAGAAAATAGGTGAGAAGCATTATATTTGAGACTAGAAAAATTGTGACAAGTATGTTTGGACAATTGGCAACTTTCACATTGAAAAACACTAGGCCTTTATTAGTAAATAGATGTGGGAACATCTTTTCAAGGTACATAAAATTAGGATGACTAAGGCGAAAACGCCATAACATAACTTGAAACTCTTTAGAATTTGAATTTGAATTTGAAATAACAAAATTTGAATTGACTGAATTTAACACTAAACCGACGGAGATGAAGTTGGACTGAAAAACATGTTTGGAATGAAAGGAAGTTGAACTCTCTTGAAACAAATATAGACCACCACATTGTCTAGCACTGCCAATCACCTTCCCCGACTCCACCTCCCCGAATCCACCTCCTGAAATTCACAAAATTTTGAATAAAACTTAGCAACACACTTTAGATCATGAGTTAATTTGCTAATGGAAATCAAATTGCAATCTAATTTTGGCACAAATAAAACAGTGGAGAGAACAAAGTCTTTTGACAATCTGATGGACCATTTTCCTACCACTGCCGAGGAGCTACCATCAGCAATTCGGATTGCGGGCTGAGAGGTGCACGTGTTGTAGCTTTGAAAGGGAGTGAGATCACCTGTCATGTGGTCAGAAGTACCAGAATCGACAATCCAGAGTTTATTTTTCTTGCTGTTTACAGTATAAGCAGCGTGTGGTATACCTTGGTGAGCCAAAAAACTAGTGGACTGTTCTGTTGGTGTTGCAATGGAATCCGTACAAGATGGTTGTACTGTAGTGGAGGAGATTATGCTCAGGATCTGCTGCAGTGCTTCAAGCTGCTCCTTGGTGAAAGGGCTGGAACCAGTAATGTTGATTGTAGATGAGGTCTGAACAGCATTAGCATGGCTGCAATTTTTAGACCTGTGAGTTGGCTTCCAATCTTGAGGCTTTCCGTGTAGTTTTTAGCATGTGTCTTTCACATGTCCAACTCTTCTGCAGTGCTCACACCATGGACGGCCGTCCTTCTTGAATTTGCCATCTTAGGATGAGTTCTGAGTAAGGAGAGTAGACCCTTCAGCGGGTAAGGATGGATGAATCTCTAGAAGCATTAATTGTTTTCTGCTTTCTTCTCTATGAACCTCAAGAAGGCTTCACGGATGGTGGGAAACGGCTTGTTGTTCATGATTCTTCCCCTTACATCAAGATTATCGTTAAGACCAAGAAGAAATCGCAAGGTCCTTTTTTGATCGATGATTTTTCGATATAGTGTAGAGTCATCGGAGCACTTCCATGAGTGTACTTCATACATGTCAAGCTGCAGCCAGAAACGTGTAAGCATGTTAAAGTATTGAGTTACACTGAGATCACCTTGACGGAGATTATACAGCCTTGTTTCAATGTCAAATAAAGCAAAGGTGTTTTCAGTGCTTGAATAAGTGTCCCGTGCAGCTTCCCAGATGTCCTTTATAATTTTGAAGAGCGGGAAATTCTCGCCAACTTCTGTGGTCATGGAATTGATAAGCCAAGACATCATCAAGTGATCATCTATTTCCACGATCGGTATTGAGGATTGGTGATTTCAGGAGCAATAATTTCTCCGGTAAGATGCTTATCTCTCCCTCTACCACACACGAACATGAACACCGATTGAGACCACTGAAGGAAATTATGGCCATTCAATTTGTGGTTGGTAACCACTGCTGAGGAGGAATCGACCACCATGGGACTGAGGGCAGAAGGATTGGCTCTGGATGTGATTTCTGATGAAGTAGAAGAAGAATGAGAGGTCATGCCGTATTTGGTCATGAAGAAAAAAATTACAGGAAAAACTACTAGACTGGAAGATAGAGAACGGCATGAAAAAATATTAGGGTTTAGAACCTAGTAGCTCTGATACTATGAAGAAAGAGTTGAGGAAATTCTGAAATTCTTCTTATTAGAAACTGAGGGTTATTGGCCCTTATATACATGGTAATAGGCAGCTAATCAGCCCAACAAATAGGAAACAAATCCTAAGAAATCAAAACAGCAAACATGAAAGTCTCTTTAACTAGAGAATTTCACTAAACAAGGAAACTAACAAAATTCTGGTATTGACTAATTTCCAGAATTAACTATATAACAAAAATAGAATAAAATCTATTCTAATACCCATCTAACTCAATGTAATATTATTCTACAGCCTTCTTGTGTGGGAAGTCCTTAGATGTGAAGCCTCTTCTGGAGTGGGGGAGTAAAGCCCTTAGGTTAGATGTGAAGTCTATTCTTTAATTAGGGTGTGAAAACTATTTATCTAAATGCTCCATTTTTTTAGTTCTCCAGATTTCACATCAAAGACCTCGGTTTGTACCGCATCAATAGGTTTACACATTTCTTACAAAGGCTTAGAAATTTAAAGAGAAGCAAATATTTGTACCACATGATATAAACATTATACTGTTATTAAGGCATATAAACATAAAACCAAGGTGCTAAAGACTCACCTGGGCTCGCAATAATTCAATATCTTCTTTGGTCTCCTTGGTGTCATATGTAGCCATTAAATGTTTCCGCACATTGTCACGAGCATAGGGAAAAAGGACATCCGTAACAAATGATATTGGAGTCGTCGTTCCTTCGATGTCAAGAACAATGCATTGCTGCAAAGTACCCTAAACATATATTAGTTCTTGAATACAAAACCTAAATCTTATTTAAAATTAGATCATGAAGAATAACCAATCAAAGGACCCACTCTTGGTGGTTCTGCAATATAATTTCCATTGAGAGATGATGCCATAACAGAACCATTTAGATGCATCTCTCTTCCTCGATGTACTCTAACATTGCTAGCGGGACCATGGCCTGGACTAGTCCAGTGAATACCCAACTGGTGGAACTTGATGGCAGCATCAAATAGATAATGGTAGCGCTCAGCCTAGAAAAGATATGGAAAGGAAGATTACCTCATCATAAAACAAAAAAGGAATATGTTATCAAGCATTTAAATTTGTTACGTATGTCAGTTTGTGCAATCATCTACTTGGAAAATAAATAATAAAAATTCTAAAATTTTAAGAAGGTATCCAACGCATTTAAATTCTCGTTTATGGGGATATAAGGAGAAAGTGTCCAGCATATTGACTTGACCACCTCACAGTGATGATGTGGTACATATAGCCTATAGGAATATGCCACACGTTCCTCTAATCATATTTTTATATAAGAATCTGAATTAAAAAAACTAACCATAATTATAATATTCTAAATCGCAAAATTAAGGAGTGAACTACCAAATTAAAACTAACAATAACTATCATGCTCCCTTTTCCTTATCTTCGTGTCATGTCAGTTATCAATTGATGCAGAAGCGTAATGGGTTGGAAGCTAGAACCATCAATACTCAAGTAATGAAAGTCCTAAATAAAAACAATGTCTGAATATATACACATATATCATAAAATGAATTCCTTGAGAAAGAAACTTAGCATACCTGATGTGCATTTGAATTTGATACACATGTATAGCAGTTTTTGTCGATGAATACATAGAATCCTCGAGTGGTTGAAATAACCTACTAGATGGATTCATTGGTATATAAGCTCCAACATGTATTGGATACATTCTTTTCTTCGTGTCTTGTCATTTGATGATAAGTATTTTGTATTTTCTAGATAGCTCATAACCAACATACTCCCATTAATAATGATTCAAGTTTAAGAGAAGCAGGACATGATGTTGGTTTAGGTATTCAAAAATTTCATAACTCATGTATACTATGTATGAATATGTTATCCTATTTCTATATATTACCTGAGAATTATATATAGGAAAAACAAATGAAGATGGCAATGGAGGGTCTTTTATTTTGTCTGTAAATCCAACACATAGCCTTACTTTAACCTCTTCGTTCCATCCTCTCTCGATGTGTATTAATTTGTATCCAATACATGTTGGAGCTTATATACCAATGAATTCATCTAGTAAGTTATTTCAACCACTCGAGAGTTCTTTGTATTCGTCAACAAAAACTGCTACATATGTGTATCAAAATTCAGATGCACGCCAGGTATGCAAATTTCTTTCTTAAGCAATTCATTCTATGATATCAACTATCTATATAACTAAAGACAAACCTTAAGAAGTATTATTCATGCTAAATATTTTTGGTGGAGCCCCCAACTGCAATGTCATACACCTAGCCAGCCCCTTTTCTCCGTTCCCCAAATTCAAATTTTAATTTTTTTTAAAAAAGTTGAAAGTACCTAGTCAGCCACTTTACAATTATTACATTTTCTCTCCCTCCCTCACTCAAATCAAAGCTTGCTCCAAGAAAATGGCACTGCCATTATCAACCTCATCAACGTCTGATCCCAATTCCATCAAGATCACCCTTGCGATCACTCTCCTTTACCTCAAGAAACTCCACCGAAAGTCTTCATCCTCTTCTTCCACCACTAATGCTCAGAGGTAGAAGCAGAAGGTAACAATCTAACCCTAGATCTCTCCCGATCACTTCTCGAATCCATCCGAAACCCTAATCTTAACGCTAATTTTTTTATAGGCAAAGGAGAGGAAGAAAGAGATCCTGAGGCTCAAAGAGGAGCGCAAGCAGCTCGAAGGTTCTCTTCTCCCCGAATTCAAAACTCTAAGTATGGGGATTTCTTTGGTGGGACTCTGTTGGTTTTTTGTTTAGAATTGTTGGATGCAAAGCAGGGAGAGGATCTACCACAGATCGCTACTTGCAAGTGTCATTTCTTTTGTGGTTGTGGTGATTTGAGGAGAAGATGGGGAGAGCAGCGGTGATGAGCACTTGAATAATGAAGTTTTGCCTTTAAAATATGGGACCATCTCCTATGCTGCTCGAATACATTATCCAGGTGAGAAATTATAAGTTGGACAAATTTTCAGAACCGACCCATTTGTGAACTTAATCCCAAAAAATAACCTCATTCAAACAAATTTGTAAAAACCGACCTGGTTTCAGCCTCAGCGCTAAAACCAGGTCGGGTTTTGCAATTTTTTTTGAATGGGGACGTTTTTTGGGAATAAAAGTCTAAATGGTCGGTTTTAAAATTTTGTCCATTATAAGTTTTATTTTAAGTTTTTCTGCTTTGTTTATTAGCATGTATAGTAATTTTTCTACTTTATTTCGTATAAGAAGATAAGTTAGTAGGGATTTAAGGTGACTTTTAGTGACCTACTAATATTTTGTCAACTATCTATGGGTTTTTAGTTGTAATATTCTTTCTTCATTTATTTTATTACCCCAAATGCTGTCTTTTATTAGTTGCCAGCGATCTTTCGCATTAATAGTTGGTTGCTAAATTTTTTAGCTTAAAGGTTAGTAGTGGCAAATAATTTCATATGATTTCATATGATTTGAAGGGAACCAATAGTTGCATATGAAAGCACAGTTTCATTGACCTTTTGAAAATTATAGATTGGGCTTGAGATTTCATAAAGCTGATCATGTTATTGCTATTTTAGTTACATTATCAGTTACGAGTTTAGGATTGAGCTTACTTTTAAATTAAAAAATGGTTGAAGTTCAACAGTAAAAAAATTCATGATAAGATGGAGATTTGGAGGTGTCAAAGTACTTCTATATGTCGATATCTAAGTTAGCGAGTAAGCTAAATGTTGAGCTCACTCTTCTAAAGAAGAAGTTCAGTGAATTAGGGATTCAAAATGGCCTCATTGCAAGATGAAGAGTCTTCAGGCGTTCATAAAAAAACGTTCAGTTACTATTTCTTTTTTCTTTTGAATATGTAATTTATCATTGCTCTTGAATTACACACTTAGAACTTGAGTTATTGTGATCTACTCGTCATCGGGTTATTTAATTTTTTCTTAATTTTCGTGAGTATTGGGAGTACAAATTATTTTATAAAACAACTAATTTTAAACTAGATGGGTTGATAATCTCTGGATATAGTTGACTAAAATGAGCTACTTAATTTGTATCCTCTGAAATGAGATAGTTAATTTGTATAATTTGTAAAACTATTGTATTTCTATTTCAGATATACATAAATATCAATTTGTTTTTGCATATTATCACGATTTATTTCGTTGGAAAATGATTGTTAAGAACAAGTAAACAAATAGACAGTGGTGTAGTTCAAAGTATGAATGTATTTGAGCAATGAAAACTATAACAGACCGCCTTCGCACGGACTTGAAATGGTTGTTAGTTGTCGAAAATAATCTCTGAGCATTGCAGCCTCATAGAAGTTATAAACATGCATTTTATTCTCTTTTACTTGGTGAACATGAACATGTAGAATAGAGGTAATCTGTATTTTTAGCTCTTTTTCAAGATTTAATTATCATACATGTATATGTGTGTGTTTTTTCTTGTTAACTTGGGCTGAATGTTCTGATTGGAAGTATCTATCTATTACAGTGATGAAATATCTTGCTAATGTAGTGTTGGAATCATGTAAATAGTTAAGTATTTGATTTAAATAAATTTATTTGTTGCTGTAATTATTTTTGTCTTCATTCAAGAATCAGGGTTGTGATTGGAATTGGATGGATTGGATGATTTATGCAAGTTTTCGTAGAATGGATCTTGATGGGTCAATTCCTAAATTTGTTTACGTACTTCTTTAATTTGCTAATCATTACGTAGATCAAATTCTTCAATTTGCTTTGAGATTGATTGGGTTTTTGGATTTGATTGTTGTAGGAGATAAATGGTAGGAGTTTCAGACATTCCAGCAATAGCATGATTGTTTAATGTTTTTATGCCCATGCAAAGCACTGATTGTTTTTATAAATTTACTTTCTTAAACGTGAAAGCAGCTAAATTAATAAAACTAATTACTTAAAATCTAATGAACTCTAATCAAGAAATAATGTAAATACATACCAATCCAGTATAACCTTGACACTATTTATTGACAATGAAAATTATATTGTTTTTAAATTCTCTCTGAAGATTTGGATTTAAAATTTGTTTTAAGATGAATCATTCACTGCCATATTGTGCAAGTGTTTTTCCTAAGTAGGACGGACTACAACAGAGATACCATTGACTGATGTTTTAGAGGCATCACTGAGGCAATGATCTCTGATAACATGCCATATATCCACAAAGCAAAGGCACATCTTTATGTTCATGTCCATTAAATACTAATTTTAAAATACATGAAAGCGATACCCATATATCTAGAATTATAATGCATCCCAACTCAATTTGAGATGATGCTCTCGGTCAGCAAGGACGACTACTCATAACTGGCCACCAGACGACGACCTTGAGGACACAATTAACTTAAATAACTATAGACTGGCTTTGTTCGAGTCATAGTTATATTTTATGTTGTTACTCGTCACTTGTTCACGTTATAATGTGTGTACAAATTTGTATCCATATTTTTCAATAGATGTTCTGTATTATGTGTATCTGTCTGTGTTCGTGTCCGTATTTCCGTCTATATCAGGGTTGCATCCCATATTCATTTCAGCATCCATGTTGCATTATACGTTCATATCTTTGCTCCCCGTCTAAAGATGGAGTCCGTTATTGCCTTGGTGCATACCAAGTGTTGTGGTCAAAATACGTGAGCTCCTAAAAAAAGAGGTCCAGGTTTCAAAGCTACATCTCCACTAATTTGGGAATGTTGTAAGTTTTCAGTATGATAGATTAAAATCTTTAAAAAATTACTCCCTACAGCACAGTTATCTTGGTCTCTTTCTCTAGCTATCTTGTCCATCTTTCTCCTCCCTAATCCGACAACCCAACAAATGGAGATTTAGTAGAAAATTTTGAAAGTCTCTAGATATTTCCATCTGCTACCAGACACAACACTACCAATACCCATGGGGCAACATGTAGAGCTAGACTGTCAGTATCTTTGCATATATCAATTATCAGTTCATGACGCTAATACTAAAAGACATAAAGAAAAGAAAATTTTCGATCCGAAAGCCCTTCGAGAAAGGATGAATCATCGTGACAATGCACGACTCCATCCCATGACTGCATTTTGCATCTCATAGGCCTACGAAAGAAAACATTCCCTTTTTTGCCAAGAATTACCCCAGATCGAAAGTTCAATCTTTCACAAAATTACCTTCATAAACAGAGGAGCACGGTCAGTACACTTTGGCGACTTAATCGGATAAGGTTTCTTCTCCAGCGCTGACAGCACCACCCCAGCACCGGAAAGAACATGCATATCCTTCAGCATCATCCTCTCCTTCTGAACCCCTATAATTCCAACAAATTACAAGGATCCGCAAATTTAAAAATACAAAATTTGGGTTATGTGCACTTTGGTATCTAAAGTTTACATTTTTTTAACTTGGATACCCAATTTTTTTTACTTCACACTTCAATATCCAAAAGTCAACATTTTTTAACTTTGGTACCCAAAAGGTTTTTATTTAATACCCCCAAAGTTTTCTCCTACACTTGGACATCCCAAAATTTTGCATGCCTTTTAACTTTGATAGTTTATCCATTTTTATAAAAAAAAAAATTTGATAGCCCAAACTTTACTGTATTAAAGTGTCAAACAAAAGTTTGGAATACGAAAGTTCAAAAAGATGCAGACCTGGTCTCAAAGTGCGGAAAAAACTTTGGGATATCAAAAGCTCAAAATGGTGTACCCTTGCCGTATCGAAGTGTGGGAAAATTCTCTTGGGGCATAAAAGCTTAAAATATTGTAAACTTTGGGGAACCGATCTGCAAAAAACCAAAAAAAAATCTTATTTTTTTCTAGGGTTTACCAGAGGGGGACATGACAACGAGCTGCTGGGGTTTGGGGATTGCATCGTCATGGACCATGATGCAATGCTGCGCGGTGCGGCGGAGACCCAGCAGCGGTAGAATTGGTGCAAGCGAGACGCAGGGAGGGATCAGTGATTACATGCGGTGCTTCATCGATGGTAGGCTTGGGAGGAAAGAGGCCGCCGCTCGCCGCCGCCGCCGCCGCCATCGGAGATGAATAGCTGGGGGTTTCTCTCTCTAGGGTTTAGTTTCTCTCTCTTGAAATTTTGATGGGTTGAGTAGCGAGAGAATGTTTGTGATTGTGTGGGAGTCATTGAAGAGTCTCGCTGCTGTTGTATGCTGTTCACGAACCCGCGCAAAGAGGACCACCCGCGCGAAATTTTATTGATCAAGGGATATTGTGGTGGCAGATGTATTTGGCTAAATTGCATAAAACTAGGGTGGCAAACGGGTCGACCCAACCCGACCCGACCCATATAAAATTTGATCTGACCCATATAAGTGTAACCCGACCCGACCCGTTTAATAAATAGGTCAATGTTACCCGACCCGATTATTAAACATGTTACCCGACCCGACCCATATAACCCAAATAACCCGTTTATCAAATACAAGACATATCCTAACACACATAACTAGTAAAAAAATTATACAGACACAAAAGAACACTTCTTGCAAGCTCTTTAGACAAAAACTATCACTACTTACAACATGGAATTATTTCAAAGACATATTCAGTATTTAAATGTACTTCAACGAATTGCAAATATCAACAAACAAAAATACATCGCTGCAGCTCTTTAGACACAGGATAAGTTAAACTAAGAACTAGCAACAAAGAATTTAACACAAGTAAATAAAGAGAATATACACAAGTTTACAACAAAATAGTTAGGAACTTGATTGCAATTATCATAGTCCATCTCCAAATTTACAAAAAATAGAATTACAGTTTACAAAAAATTTAACTGTCCCATTTCCAAATTTACAAAAAATGTAATTACAATTTACAAAAAAATTTAACTGACCCATCTCCAAATCTCCAAATTTGAGTCAAAAAATTCATTCTCAGAGTGAAGGTGATGCCCTTGGCGGCGGCGAGGGCAATGACGGAGCGTGATTCCCAGTTTAGTGCAGTGCGGCCGGATCCTCTGTTGCCTGCAAAGATTGAGAAGAGAATTTTGAAGAAGGGAAAGTGCAAACGTTGCAGAAATGCTTCATAAACTCTTGCTTGATATGTTATGGTAGATAACAGCTGCAAGGTTCCTGGCAATTGTATCTCATGAGGTTGAATGATAAGTAGCAATGAAAGGATCATTCTTTTATAATAATGGAAATCTAATGCGTATAATATGTATATGTGGATGTCAATGTAATATATGTAGTATAAAGATGTGGATATATTTTATTTGCTAGAAGCACAAGGTGTAAAATCTATGAAGGAAAAAAGAAAAAAATATATGTTACCTGCCAATCCAGCACATGCAGAAGAGAAGACGATGACAGGAGGAGCCTGGATTCAACCTGCGAGTCGAAAACAGAGAGCAAAAAGATGCACATGAGATGGAAGGAAACCACAAATTTTTTTTCCTTCATTCGAGCATATTGCTGATTCAGTACTCTAAAAAAGGCTGTTCCATTGCCTTCGAGGATTCTCGCACCGCGAGATGTGTTACATGGAAATGTACCTGCAAGTCATCCGGCTCTCCAAATGAAAATTCTGGAATATCTAGATGACCCTGGATTCTCTTCTTCTCCTCTTTCACTAACCACTCCCCTGTTTCCATTAACAATAACCATGCGAGGAAAAACAAACAAGGAGGGTAAGTAGCAAAGCTCCGTAGTGATCTGTCAGATGACAGCAAATACACAGGTAGATACTTTACCTTTAAATTTTAGGGTCAATTCATATATATATCCAACTCTTTTCTTGTTGCGCACTGTGACCAGGAACGCCTGCTTATTTTAAAACCCATTGTACTCATATGACTTAGTTTTAAACTCAATGTCCATTATACTTCTCTATCTTTATATTGTATTTTTTCCAAAATCAACAAATCCAATATTACCCTTTCTCTCTTCTTCTAATCATCGCTAACAGCAGGGCATCAATGACGACGATGGCAGGAGAAAATGGCGGGCTGCTCTTCCACTTCACCAACCCCCAATTTGGTATCCATCTTCAATTACTCTCTCCTTCTCTCTCTCCTCCATTAATTTCCCCTCTCTTCTTGAGAAATCTCTCTCCTCCATTAATATTTCTCCTCATAGAACACACTAATCCTACATCAATAGCTTGTTAACATTTTGAAATTTTGGGTTTTCCAATACTGTATGTTAACATTTTGAAATTTTGGGTTTTTTTGACAATAGCTTGTTAAAGATGTATTGTTCTTATAAATTGATGGATTCTTATCAAGCTTATGCTTCAGGTAAGGGTATGTGCATAACAATTTTGCTCATATATATCTATGTTTTGGTGACTAGGTTGATGCATAGAAGGATGGTATGTGCATTACAATTTTGCTCATATATATCTATGTTTTGGTGACTAGGTTGATGCATAGAAGGTGTTTGATGGAATGACAAAAGGGATATAGTTATTTGGTGTTTGATGGAATGACAAAAGGGATATAGTTATTTGGACCACAACGATTAGCGGTTATGTCATATTGCTGTTGGTTGAGGAGGCAATAAAGGTGCTTGATGAAATGTCCAAGAGAAGTTTGGTTTTGTGGACCGCCATGATCTTAGCTCATCGGTATGCCTTCCTACGCCCTCCGGTTGCTCCTCACCATTTTCTATTATCGCCAACACCCAACGTAATGCATAGCTACCCCCTGGTCGGAAACCATTCGTCAATGCACACTAACTTTCCAATCAAACACGAGAGAATCTCCTACTCTTGGCATTCGATCAGATCTTCGCATTGCTGTCACATTGCAACCCAAACGGCAAATCAACTACAGCCTGCAATATGATGTAGCAAGTAGTATCCAATGTATCGTGTTGTATGAAATTTTCTATATTATGTATATATAGATGATTTGTGTGTATATTGTATCAAATGCACTATCCAATGTATCATGTTGTATCAAATTTTCTATTAGGAATTTATCAGTGTATCTAGTAGAAATGTATCTAGTAGAAATGTATACAACGTTTCGATAGTGGTGATTTTGGATTATTTCCATTCAATCTTCATGGATATTTTCATTCAATGTTATGTGCTTGAGTTTAGTGGTTAATAGATATGAATACCTATAATGAATTGATGCACTGATTGAACTGAAGAAGTTTTGATGTTAGGTTGTGGTAACTACAGACTATTGAGCCATATTATGCAAGTGATAATTGTATGAGATGGCAGTGGCAGAACTTGATAAGCACAGAGCAAGTTGTATTGGCTACTCAGTTTGTGTATATTAATCAGTTTTTTTAGGATCATGCAAACACTCGATGACCTACGTTATGTGTCGCGTGACTAATTATCCACCTCGACGAGGGGTCCTCGCTCAATTTTCCAGCTTTTGACAAAGTATAGCTCTTTATGGGAAGGTATAGCAGCTTATTGATGAAGTATAGCACCTTATGACAAAGTATAGCACTTTATGGCAATAGTATAGCACCTTATCGATAAAATATAGCCTCTTATGGTCTCTGGAAATTCAGCAACTTATTGCGTTGCGATAAACCAAATTAGTTTTTTTAGGGCCATGCAAACACTCGATGACCTACGTTATGTATCGCGTGACCAATTATCCACCTCGACGAGGGGTCCTCGCTCAATTTTCCAGCTTTTGCTCAATTTTCTAGCTTTTGCCAAAGTATAGCATTTTATGGGAAAGTATAGCAGCTTATTGATAAAGTATAACACCTTATGGTAAAGTATAGCACCTTATGGTAATAGTATAACACCTTATTGATAAAGTATAGCACCTTATAGTCCCTGAAAATTTAGCAACTTACTGTGTTGCGATAAACTAAATTAGTTTTTTAGGGCCATGTAAACACTCGATGACCTACATTATGTGTCGCGTGACCAATTATCCAGCTCAACGAGGGATCCTCGCTTAATTTTCCAACTTTGGCAAAGTATAGCATTTTATGGTAAAGTATAGCAGCTTATTGATGAAGTATAACATCTTATGACAAAATATAGCACCTTATGGTAATAGTATAGCACCTTATCGATAAAGTATAGCACCTTATAGTCTCTAGAAATTCAGAAACTTATTGCGTTGCGATAAACCAAATTAGTTTTTTTAGGGCCATGCAAACACTTGATGACCTACGTTATGTGCCGCGTGACCAATTATCCACCTTGATGAGGGGTCCTCGCTCAATTTTACAGCTTTTGACAAAGTATAACACTTTATGGGAAAGTATAGCAACTTATTAATGAAGTATAGCAGCTTATGGCAAAGTATAGCACCTTATGGGAATAGTATAGTACCTTATCAATAAAGTATAACACCTTATGATCTCTGAAAATTCAGTAACTTATTGCGTTGCGATAAACCAAATCAGTTTTTTTATGACCATGCAAATACTCGATGACCTACGTTATGTGTCGTGTGACCAATTATCCACCTCGATGAGGGGTCCTCGCTCAATTTTCTAGCTTTTGGCAAAGTATAGCACTTTATGGTAAAGTATAGCAGCTTATTGATGAAGTATAACACCTTATGGTAAAGTATAGCACATTATGACAATAGTATAGCACCTTATCGATAAAATATAGCACCTTATAGTCTCTGGAAATTCAGCAACTTATTTTGTTATGATAAACCAAATCAGTTTTTTTAGGGCCATGCAAACACTCGATGACCACACTCGATGACTTACGTTATATGTCGTGTGACCAATTATCCACCTCGACGAGAGGTCCTCGCTCAATTTTTCAGCTTTTAGCAAAGTATAGCACTTTATGGTAAAGTATAGCACCTTATTGATGAAGTATAGCACCTTATGGCAAAGTATAACACCTTATTGATGAAGTATAGCACCTTATGATAAAGTATAGCACCTTATGAGAAAGTATAAGACTTTATGGGAAAGTATAAAAGCT